CTTAACATAGGTAAGGTTCACTTTTTAACAACACTGCCTATTCTCATTAAAATTTGCTGAAAACTTTGACTGACTGACATGTGCAGCAGTCTGAAAGTCTTTAAGCTTAGATTTTGCTTACCCATGTGTTATGTTTAAAAGTTACTAGGCCTACTGTGAGTTAAGTTTAGGTCCAATCAATGACTAAGTTAAGCAATCAAAAATGTTGTCGTTGTCTCCTTGGTCAGCACTAACTTATAGGTAGGCCTATATCTGGAGTTTGACAAGGTAAATTGTTATTTGGATGTAGGCCTATGGTATACAGTACCTTAGGTACCGTATATGTAAATATAGCTATATAAGTAAGTAGGCATTGTATGTAACTGGACCTATTCTAGTCAGTCGTAGGTGAACTGTAGTTACACCATTAAGGTAACTTAGTACCTATTCACTAGTCCGTACTCCACTCCTTGTTCCTTGGCGTGCTATTTGCTCCCCGCGCCATGAAAAGTAGTTACGTAAGTTATATTTTTGCAATTCACAGTGGTTTCTGGGCCTCAAAAAAATGTTTTAATGGTATTTTATGTTTATTAGAATCATAGGAACAATTAATTTAGGAAGGTTTAAAAAAAGTCCAGAAAGTTCAGATTTACCAGGTACGGTAAGTATAATTGAACAAGTAATTAACTTAAGCTTAATTGGGCTGTGAGCGCAATAAGTTTAGGATCTTTAGACACATTGAGAACAAGTAAACTTTAGCCATTAGGAAATCCCGAGGATTCTACTTAGAAGCAAGAAATAGACCAAGGCTGAGAGGTTGAAAGTCATGATATTAGGCTGCACTTTACTTTAGGTCCTACACTCATTCAAATGAAAATATCGATGGTTTGTTTGTTTCATTCGATATATCGTTTTGTTAGATAGGTAAGGTTAACCTAACCTAACTAACCAAACAATATAGGATCGAATGAAACAATCGATTAATCGACCTAGGCTATAACTTATCAATCAATATTTTCATTCGAATGAGTGTAGGACCTAAAGTAAAGTGCAGCCGAATATTTTGATAAGCCTAGGCCTACCACTAACTTAGTTTGGGTACACTTCCATATCTGTTGGCAAAAACAACCGAACGAGTAATATTAATTATTCGATTGTTTCATTCGATATATCGTTTGGTTAGTTAGGTTAGGTTAACCTTATCCAACCGATATATCGAATAATCGATATATCGATCGATATTTTCATTCGGTTGTTTGTGCCAACAGATATGGAAGTGTACCCCTTAATTTAGGCCTATTGTATTTGTTAATAAAATAATATAATCTATTGGAGGGAATAAAACTTACCACAAGTTACTAAAGGTAACAAGGATGGAAAAGGTTTAATACAATTTTGTTGTGGGATAATTTCTTAATAGCCTATACGCTAGGCCTAACTTCGGCTAACTTACCGTGTAAGATTCAAGATAGGCTATTTTCAAACAATAATTATTTTTAAATTTGCCTCTTAAATGTTATAATTTGTTCAAGAAATGAAAAGTTGTAGAAAGCTTAATATGGATGCAGAATTTCATTTTCGTTTCATAAGAGTTTGTGATACTTTACTTAAATGTTCAATAACCGCGGGCCACGGCCACATTAAAAGACTTAGCTTCAGCTTCAATTCAAATTAGGTTATGTTGACAATTTTTTTTTTAATTAGGTTCTTCTTCCTCTTTACTCAATGTTTGTTAGAAGTTTTGTGCTCAGTTTTGTACCATGTAACACTGAATTTATACCATAATGCAATAAGACATTTTTATTACTGAGCCACCCACTAGTAGGTAGTAGGAGGTACTGTATGACTGAGACTGACGCACTATAGTCCTCGCCACCCTACTAAGTTGAGGCAGCCCAAGGCCGCACGGCGTATATCTAGTGCGGCCTTTGGCTGCCTCAACTTAGGATGGCGAGGACTATAACGTGACGAAGCACAGCCACCTCTAATACATGATATTGAAAAAATGCCTTTAACATTGCCGTGCGCATGTTTCCCGCCATCCTATGCCTTCGTCCACAGCCACCTCTAATACATCAATGATAATACATCTAATGTATTAGAGGTGGCTGTGGACGAAGGCATAGGATGGCGGGAAACATGCGCGCGGCAATGTTAAAGGCAATTTTTCAAATTAAAGCTTGAATAAAAGAATAAAAAAGCCTGATTCTCGGGGGGGGGGGGTCATTGCCCCTATGGCCCCCTCTCTGGAACCACCACTGGTACGTGGCACTTCAGAGGAACTCCTCTACTCTTCGCTGATGATGTGAAAATGTCCTCTGACATATCTTCAGAAGACGACTTCACACGGATGGTCAAAATCGTTTAAGAAATGAACCACCGGTCCATTAACGGGCGGTCGGCTTAGGAACGAACTTTCAGTTGAGAAGTTCAGTCCACAAATTTTGTGTGGCGTATTAATTTATAAAGATTCGCGGATTCGCTAAAGCAATGTAGGTACTAATATCAAGATTATTGAACAGACAGTTAACGGTTTTGTGTTGTTTGGTAGGAATGCTGGTGTGCGCCAAAGTAATTAAGGCTTTCTGTACTATAATCTGTGCAAGAAAGCCCACTTAGTCGGGTGCGTGACTGTAGGAAAAATAACTTAATCTTCATTCTAAAAATAACCAAGTAGTTTTGTTTATCAAAGTAACACTACACATGGTACTTGCATAAAGTTAGGTATAAATCAAACAAAATATATCTTACTGGTTTAATTTATACAAAATGTATATTACATTGATTGCTACATTGATTATATTGATTGCTTGGAATGAATATATGTACCAACAATATGTATACTTTTTACCAATGGTTATATTGTTTTCTCTATGGTTTAACTCTATGATACAAGCCTAATTCAAGATAGGCCTACATAGTACATATAACATATACAACAGGTACATAAAAAATTAAATATTTATAAAAGCCATTGTTTACTCACCCTTGATACAAAAAAATAAATACTTTAAATACAAAATACTTTCTACACATAACTAAATTCATACAAAAGCTGTACAAACTTAAAATAGGTAGGTGTACTGATAACCTTATACAGATATTTTTTTATGTACAGTCCGCTAATGTGTTTATTCATTTTGCTATTTTTGTAAAAAAAAAATACTAAACATAATAACATAATAATACTCCCACAGCAAGCCTGCAGACTAGGTGAATTTCCATTTACTGTACTTGATTTGATTTTCAATTAAATCTATTTCAATAACATTAGTTTTAACGAGTACCTATAGGTTTGCTGCTATAGGGAGGGTAATAAAGTGTGTTTTTTAGTAAAACTTAATAGCTTAGGATAAAATAAATAAATTTGCCAAGTTTGATCTAAGTATATACATAAAACAAGCAAACTACAACAGTTTACTTATTCTTCATAAGAATATAATATAGGAATTTTAAATTAACAGTTTTTTGCATTTTATCCGTAACCAGTACAAAAACACTTCAATATACTAAATTGAATTATTTGTTTTTTTTAAGGTCTTCAAAATGGTCTATAGAGAAATTAGGAAATCTTATGTTTTTGAGGCTGAAAAACAAGAAAAACCAATTTTTACCTTTTAAATTCCCCATAAATCCCTTTCCCATGGTCCGATCATGCTCGTTCAAGAACTTGTTCGAATTAACATAGGTTTACATGTTGGTACCAAATTTCATCAAAATCTGATCATTTTTGCTTGAGTTATCATGATAATGGACAGTCGGACACATATATACCGGGTGTCCAAAACAACCTGTACACCCCTTTAAAAACAAGGGGAGACCTTTTCTTACAAACAACAAATAATACAGAACTAGATAAATTGGGCACGGTCAACCAAATAGTGATAATTCTAAATCCAAAATCTGACTGAAAGTGGCTTTTTCATAACGGAAGTTGACTTTTTTAAATGAAAACTACCAATTTTGATCACAAAATCGGATTCTACGGTAAAAAATGCATAACTTTTGTCAAAAACATTTTTTGAAAAAAAAAGTTTTCTACCCCTAATCCCCTATTAAAATCAATTATATGTCATTCATCTGTTACTTGAAACTATAATAGATATAAACAAATAACAAAGATTACATAACGCTTCAATATACTAAATTATTTGTTTTTTAACCTCTACAAAATGGTTTGGATAGAAATTGATAAATTTTAAGTTTTCAGGGTCAAAAATGGGAAAAAACCAATTTTTACCCCATAAAACCCCCCATAAACCCCCGTTCCCAAGGTCCAATCATGCTGGTTCGCAAAATCGTTCGAATAAACGTAGATTTACACGTTTGTACCGAATTTCATCAAAATCGGATGATTTTTGCTCGAGTTATCGCGCTAACGGACACATATATAAATATATACATGAATTTGAACGGATGGTGTTTTTGGCCTCTAGGGACCTTCTTTTTTTTCCTAAGGACGCTAGGCACGAGCCTGGGATTGTTTTTCACATTACTTCAGGCTAGACCTAGGGGTTGCGGCTAATTAAAAAAAAATAGTTCTGTTCATAAATAAAATTATAAATGCCTCAAAATCTAACAAAAGATGTGCAGTTAAGAAGTATTCACAATCTAAGCAAAACCTTCGACAAAAAGATAGTGTCGCCGGCGGGATTCAAACTGGGGACCTCTAGATCACGAGTCCAAGACGCTATCAACTACGCCATGAACACCGATGAAATCATATCGTCTCGTTACGGTAATGGTGTTCCCTAAAGAGCAGAGTGACGTCACGCGCCCCACTCCTTCTCTAAAGAGGTTCTCATCAGTTCCTGGAAGGGGAAAACGAGACGCTATACCACACTTGTGGTGAATTGTACATTGGGCTTCATATCACACTACTTTAAACTAAGGTAAACTTACATACTTTTTTGTTTTGTTTTAACATGTTATGTAACGCAACAAACCTGTACACACAGTCTTATACAGTAAAATTTGATTTAAATAAAAAACTGTTAAACTTTGTTCTTTCCTTGTATTTATCAGACTGTTATAGTGTAATTCTTTTGTACTTTCTTCCTTCCTAAAATTTCTTGTATTTCCTCCATTGATTTGTTATGAGTTTCTGGAGCGTACGTCCAAGTGTAAATAACAGTGGCGGCACACGCCAAACTAAACACTAAATAATTAACATACATACCAAATGATTCTGCAACTAATAAGTAGTATTTGTTTAGAAAAAATGCCGTAATAGCTACAGAAAAAGTGACAAGTGAAGAAGATAAAGCTCTTATACTACTGGGTAACACCTCTCCTTTTATACTGGTTCCAATCGGCCCTAAACCGATGTTGAAAACACAGTAGTAAAAAAAAATGGACCAGAAAATAACATCACTGTAATGTGACACGTCAATGGTAGTAAACTCGTCCAAGTAAAACCATAAGGCTACGAGTGATGTAGCGATTGAACATCCACCACATGATATAGTAAGCAATATACGACGGCGATATTTGACTGCCAAACCTGCGGAGAATATGGAAGAGATGAGACTTGTGAGTCCAATTATAATCACACTGTTGTTAGCGTTTAAAACTCCCACACTTACAGGAGGTAAAGTAATTGACAAGTAAGCTTGCATTACTCCAGACCCTGAGAGTCTTTTGAAAATGGCGTATGTAACAGACAATGCAAAACCTTTACGGTTGGCTTTGTGACAAAATATATCTCTCAGTGTTCCTTTTTGTAGCTTCTGTTTCTCAATTGCTTGTTCAATACTTTTTATCTCTTTCTCAATATTTTCTTCGGTTTCTCCTTTACGAAGCCAGCTCAGAGCAATGAGTGCTTCTTTTCTTTGACCAGTCTGTAAATAGAAATGAGGAGATTCCGGCATCATTATAAACGAACAAATATAAACAACAGTCATTATCTCACAGATCACAGCAAACAGAAAATAGTTGACATAGGGACCCACAACGTAAGCAAATAATATCCCAAAGTTTGTCATGAGATTGTTTACAGTCGTTAAAGAACTTCGCAATCCGGTGCTTGAAATTTCACCGACGTAAATTGGCATTATGGTTGATGTTATTCCAATCCAGAGACCCGCTAGGTATCTCGCAATGTATAAGTATGTCACATGGTAAGCATAGTAGATCAAAAGCCACGAGAGGAGTGGAAAGACGGATAAGTAGAGGCAGACCTTCTTACGACCGAAGTAGCGCATGAGGTAACCAGCTGGTATTGGGCTTGAGATGTGTCCTAGGAACATGAGAGAGACCATCCAAGAGATCTGGGTTACGTTGAGTTTCAGAGGAGTTTCACCTTGATCCATCTCGATCAAAACCGGAGAAGGCCAACCTGTGGATGCCCCAACTACTCCATAGGCCAATGAGCCTGAAATAAAAATCATTAGCTTTAGTATCAATGTACAGGCCATAGTCACACTGATTTATTATAAATGGCTATCTTTATCCCAACTCTAACTTAAGAGTATTATAACTAAGAAGAAATTACTATATTCTGTTTAATTGTATTAATTGAATTTAGATTGAAGAAATTACGGTACTTCAGTATTAAACGGAGGCCACATTTTGTCAGCGCGCTGCGGCGGTTATGTTAGGTTGGGTTATCATAATAGAAAGTATCGTTCGATTCATAACGAAGCGAGGAAAGTCCTACACACATAATATTTACGATAACCCAACCTAACATAACCGCCGCAGCGCGCTGACAAAATGTGGCCTCCGTTTAATACTGAAGTACCGAAATTACACTTAAATTTGCATGCTGCTTTCAATACACTTCCACTGATGATTTATTTGATCTTTAAAGGCATTAGGCGTACCTAGATGATACACTAATAAATTGTTATTAATGTAGGCCTACACTTGACAACTTGCTTCAAAAAAGTTATGTAAAATTTAAATTTTTAAATAAATATACAGCCGTGTTTCGAAAATATCACCCAAAACTCTGTGGGCATGTTTCTTAGGTCAAAACAAACTAAAAATGTACTATAAACATATGCCCTATCTCAATTCGTTTTCCGTCTATTAGTGTGTAAGTTTTTTTACATTACTTCCCATAACTTTGCAACTACTTGAGGTACCATTCAAACTTAGTATGTATATGATGACTAATAGGAACTATTTTTTTTGAAAATACCAAGTTTGAAGTTGGTACCTCAAGTATGGTTCCAAAGTTTTGGGAAGTTATGTAAAAAACGAAGCGCTAGGGCATATGTTTATATTACAGTTTCAGTTTGTTTTGACCTAAGAAACATTCCCATGGAGTTTCGAAACACCCTATATATGGAAGCTCTATTTGTTTTGTGAACTAAAACAGGTCTCCAATTTTCTTATGCAATAAAACGTCAATCAACTTGCATTATCAAAAATCAATGGCAGTATTATATATTCTAAGTATACCATAAAACAACCCTTTTTTACCCCAAACTATGTAAAAACAAAAGTTTCTTATTTTTAAAAGAGCTGTTAACCTTTGTAAAGCAGAAGCTGTGTCAACACAGCTGTGAAAAGTTGTATGATGCGTCATAAACTACGCACGTAAAAAATTACTAGATCAATTAAACATTTGTTTTAGAACTACAAAAGTACGGTATCACAGGTATTCAGTCTTTTCAAATTTTATAAAAACTCTAGAATATCAAAACACAGAATAACATAATTGTTCTTACCAGATATAGCTGCCATATACTGGTTGATCATCCCTTCTTTTAAGCTTCCTGTCTTTATATACACCATTTTTACAGTCTGTAAGATAAAAATGAAAGAAATCAGAAACATTTCATGATTGGTTAGCCTCTGGATCAAGATATATCTAGATTAAAAAGGTTTAGATTACCTGTTTTGTAAATTAATCCTTGTTGATATACGGGGTGTCCCACGAAGGGGTTTAAACGTTTGATTTTATATTACGTGCCCATTCATGCATCGGACTTTTTTAAACTTTACACAGTTTAAGAAGTAGGATGTAAAAATATTCTGGAAAAAATTCAACTCCCTAACCTTAGTAGAAACAAAATGGCGGCATATTGAAAAACGATGCTTTAAAAACATTAAAGAAGGTATTTTTGGTTTTATAAAATATTTTTATTGTTACTTTCCAGGGTAATATGACTTAAATAAAAAAAAAATAGATCATAGCCTAATGGAAAACCTTAATGTCAAAAATTATTCAAACTGTACCCATCCACAGCAACACACTGATAACAGCGCGTAACAAATTATTCGTTAAGCTCTTACAAAGAAACCCTGCGGTATCCGGAAAAGTTCCTCTTCTATTGATCGTTTTAGTTCCTCATCATTATTGAAGCTATGGGGATAAACTTGTTCCTTCAAGAAACCCCATAAAAAGATGTCGCAAACAGTTAAATCAGGTGATAGGGGTGGCCAATCTAAAAAATCATTTGCACGACCAATCCAACGGCCATGAAGGTTGCCATTTAGTAATTGCTTGACAGGATTTGCGAAATGAGGTGGTGCACCAACTTGTTGAAAGATTGCTTAATTAATTTCTGGTACCGTCAAATGGGGTCAAATGGGACCTGTTCATTTAAAACTCAATTTTTAATCAAACAGCTGTTCTTCAACAATGAGCGTTAGAACCGCAATTAGTAAAGAAATCAGATGATAAATCTTGAAAGTAGTTTTTATAGGAAGCAAATTGGTAAAATTTTCAATAAGCCGCCATTTTGTTTCTACTAAAGTTAGGGAGTTGAAATTTTTCCAGAATATTTTTAGAACCTACTTTGTAAACTGTGTAAAGTTTAAAAAAGTTCGGTGCATGAATGGGCACGTAATATAAAATCAAATGTTTAAACCCCTTCGTGGGACACCCGGTAAATAATAACTTCAGCTGTTTCGTACTGCTAAGACCACATCTTGAGGTTATGGACGTTAAACACTATTCTCATTGTAGTATGAGGTCATCAGCATTTATATATTATCTTCTGGGACACAAAAACACAAACACATACAAAAACAACATCTATACAAAAAACTTGGCAAAGAAGTCTGAACACGAATGAGGTGCATTACCCATTGATAACCTGTTTGGAGTATTTGGCGAAGTTTTTTCTATACCCTTAAATAAGAACAAAACATTCAGTCCAGACAGTCCTTTAGGCATGTGCTGTGCAAAAGGTGCGGCCCGCACTTAGCCCTTTACCTCTGGTTTGCACTTGGTGCATAAAATACAAGAAATTTGTAAAATGTCCTTAAATTTTATGTCAATAATGAAAAAAAAATAAACAAGGGGAGTATAAATAACTACTAATATTATACATTGAGGATATTGCTAGTCAGTATTATGTGGATACTTTTTTGGAAGTAAAGGGCCCCGCTCTGAATGTTTGTACTGGGCCCTGCACTACCCAAGACCAGCTCTGGGTCCAGATAAACATACTCAAAATTGCTTCAGATATTTTAGGATGAGAAGTGGTCTTGCACCATTTAAGTTCAGGTATGCATGGTACAGTTTTAACTCACCTTTATTGTTGAAGATATTCTTGTATCACAGTCAATGTATCACTGGCTACTTAGGATCAAACGCTCCTGTTATCATAGTACTCAAGTGATCCATGATATTGATCCAATTCTCACGACTACGTCACATGTGAAAAACCACTTTAAACTATTTATTACGTAAAACCTTTGTTTACCACTTAAAGTTACCAGGTTCCCGTTAAAAAAACAGCGTATGGTGTGTCATACACTTATGCAAGTCAAGGTAAAGTTATTCACTCTGAGAAATTCTTCGGTGACTTTTGCTGAAGTAGTTTTTAAATGTTAGCGAATCTTTCGTTTTAGTGTTGAGAAATTATTGTTTTGTTTTAAAGGGAACCCTGTTTTTTCTATTAAAGAATTTTTCCAATTTGGTGCTAGAGATATTCAGTAACTTTCGATTTCCTGTTTATTTGGCAACACTGTGATCTCTAATTATGGTATGTTTTAAGCATTTCTTTGTATGGTTGCTCGTCCTGGCTTTGATATTGCATTGTTTTTTACATATCTGTGTCTAATAACAATAAAGGATTCTTATTATGTATGATTTGAGAATTGGGTACTCCTGATGTTATTGAGAATTGTTTTTGCCTTTACATATTTGTTCCCTGTGTGTGTGTTTTTTAGGGGTTGACTAGTAAGTAAATATATTTCATAGCATAACTAGCGACTGCAGTGAGGCGTAGGTCATACATAGTTCTTAGATAGGAATATGGGGAAAAGGGTGTTGATTTTCCAAAAGATTGATTGCGTACATTGATATTTTCCCAACTACATCCCAGAGAAAAGAGATAATCGGGAATGCTAAAAATTAAATTAAATTTAATGCAGTTGTCTGTTTGCAATTTTGAGCGGAGCAACCATATTAATCCAATGTCAATGCTACATCTATTTTGAGCCGTGACATCTCCTCACACTCCACGCGATGTCACGCCTCAGTGTTTTTGTAGTATTTCGTCGCCGGAATTGGTTTGGATTTGGGTCGTTTCGCAGCAGACCTGATGACCCAGAGTCAACGTCCGCTGTTCTGAAATGTGTTGTCAGAAGGCGAGTGATTGTCATCCGTTCCTGTCAAGACTTTGTTTGTGTTGTTACTTGTTTAAAATGTATCTTCCACAACCGTGTAGTACAGACCGTTTCACCGTGCTTGGCGTGTAGGGGAGGCATTGCAAGAAAGACAGAAAAATACAAAAAAAAAAAAAAAAAAAAAAACGTAAACAAAAACGTAAACATAAAGCAAACTAATTTGACAGCTGATGCTAGTTCACAACTTCAGTATTTGCACGTGACTGTACCGTACATCGAGGCGTAGTGGGGAAAGCTCTCAGTGCGCATGCTCCAGCGAGGCGCCACGCACCGTGACACTATCTGTATATTCGTTTATGTTCATTGTGTTGTCTTCAGTAACATGGAATAAGTTTGCCAAACGTCAGATGAGGTCCCGAATGGGAGGCTTCACTTGTTCCTGTACAGGTATACTGCCTCGCTCTCCAGACAGCAAGCCGCCCTCCGCCATCTACCACCACCGCCCACTGCAAGTGTGAAATTGCCCACTACCAATGTACTACCGTCCCATAAATTATATTTGGGTATTTCTTTTCTAGTCATTTGTTAATAATTATCTGTTAATTTATTTAAATGTTAATTCTTCAGTTACTAGTTTGTAAGTACAGAAGGGTAAATTAAGTCTCATGCTTTAAAAAAAAAAAAAAAATTGGAATTCTTTGAATGGGGGTAACACTTGTTATTTTATTGTTTGTTGAATTTTTGAGATCATAGGCTATTATTGTTTCCAATGTTGTTTTGTTTTAGAAGTTCACCCACGGCCTTTTAGTTTTAGTTAGGGATGTAGGATGACTACTCGCACTGTCACTATGGGGGTGGGCATGCTTCCACTAGTATCTCTTCTGGTGGCGGTGCGAGGGGTCGGCTCAGTTTTATGGGAAGGGAATGTCTACTTGCAGTATACAAAGTCAATGGTACATTTAGTTCATGTCAATGTGATGTCTACTTGTAGTATCCAAAGTCAATGGTATATTTGGTTCACATAAATGGATTAGCTATTTTTTGAGTATCTAAAGTTAATGGTGTATTAGCCTAATTTCGGTGATCCTAATTGGTTTTAAATTTTGTAGTAAATTATGCTTGGTTCCTGTTCTCCCCTTTTGTTCCGTATTAGGCCTATGTGCTAGTTCAGATGATTTGTTGACTAACATATGTTGCGACTCTTTTGTTTACCATGTTATTGTTAACTTTTAAGGCTCATGTTAAATTTCTAAACATTCAAATTGACGTAGAAAAAACCCCTTTCAGATTCATACCTTCCCAAAGTCAGTTTTTGTGTAAAGTAAATTTAGTGCGGATCACTTTAACCCTTCAAGAGCAGTATTTAAATAGCCTCCTCTAACACAAGGCAGCGGCGTTGGTGTGTGGCAACGTTGCATTTTCATCCCTATTGCCATGGTAATAACAGAAATAACAAAAGCATAAACATAAACATTTTCTACACTGTCCATTATAAATTAGTGCAACAGCTGTTTCGGTTTGATGGGACAGCAGTGTTTCGACTTTTGTCTCGCCGCAGCCTTGAATTAGAGGAAGCTATGGTATTTTTTTAAAACAAAAGCAGGAGTGTAGTATAAGAGCTTTGCTCACTCCGCTCAGTAATTACTTTAAAATGTTGCATTATAAAGATTTAATTGAATAAATGTTCAACCAATTATTATTTTCCCCTCATAGAACTAGGGAAACTTCTACATTTTAATGATGATTCTGAAAATAACTAAACACTGTATATATCAGATAATAAGAGTTTGAAGGATTTGCTTCAATGTAAAAACAATCATACCCTACTTGTATTATTCAAGGTAATGGTAGTTAAGAAAGGTAAACAACCAAAAGAAGTAAACTAGGTGGCGTTCGCAGAGGCATCCACAAAATTGAGCGGAGTCATCAAGGGTTCATATTATATTGTTATTGTCATACTGCAGTAAAAACAGTAGTTTTTAGGTAATGCGTTGCAGCTCTAAAGTAGCATTTTTACTCTTTAGGGAGTAAAAATCGTTTTTAGCCTCTATGGAGTAAAAATCAGCTGTTGTCAACTCAGTCGTAAATTTCTATTGTAAACGATTGCATGTATCGAAATATGTATCGATTCATGCTTCGTAATCATTTTAACCTACGGTCTACAGTCCCTTCCCATAGCATTTTAGCATTGCAGATACATTAATCCATTCCCACACTCAACACTGCTCACCTTTACTACTTCCTTCACCACACCCTACGTCGTGGACCTGTTTCCCTCTCTTCCCATAGAATTTTAGGATTGCAGATATATGAATGTAATTGCCAAAGACAGTTCCCACACTCTGCACTGCAAGCCTTACTACTTCCTTCGCCAATTCCTACGTCATAGACCTGTTTCCTTCCCTTCTCATAGCATTTTAGGATTGAAGATACATTAATCTAACTGCCACAGACGGTTCTCACACTATGCTCATACTTTACTACTTCCTAAGCCACTTCCTACATCGTATCCCTATTTTCATCACATTCCATAGCATTTTAGTATTTTAGATACGTTAATCTAATTGCCACAAACATTGCCCACACTCCGCACTGCTAGCCTTTACTACTTCTTTCACCATTTTCTATGTCGTGGGCACGCTTTCATCCCTTCTCATAGCATTTCAGCATTGCAGATACATTAATCTAACTGCTACAAACGGTTTCTAGTTCCCACACTCCACACTGCTCACCTTACTACTTCCTTCACCTCTTATAACGTCGCGGACCTGTTTCCCTCTCTTCCCATAGAATTTTAAGATTGTAGATACCTTAATCTAATCGTCATAAACAGTTCCCACACTCCGGACAGCTCGCCTTGACTACTTCCTTCACCACGTCCTACATCGCGGACCAGTTTTCCTCCCTTCCCATAGCATTTTAGGATTGTAGATACCTTAATCTAATCGTCATAAACAGTTTCCACACTCCGAACAGCTCGCCTTGACTACCTCCTCCATCACTTCCTACGTCACGGACCTGTTTCCCTCCCTTTCCATAGCATTTTAAGATTGCAGATACCCTAATCTAATCGTCATAAACAGTTCCCACGCTCCGGACAGCTCCCCTTGAGTACTTCCTTCACCACTTCCTACATCGCGGACCTATTTTCCTCCCTTCCCATACCATTTTATGATTGTAGATACCTTAATATAATCGTCATAAACAGTTTCCACACTCCGGACAGCTCGCCTTGACTACTTCCTTCACCACTTCCTACGTCGCGGACCTATTTTCCTCCTTCCCTTAGCATTATTGGACTGCAAATACCTTAATCTATTGGTCATAAACAAATCCCACACTCCGGACAACTCGCCTTTACTACTTCTTCCATCACCTCCTACCTCATGGACCTGTTTCCATCCCTTTCCATAGAATTTTAGGATTGCAGATACCTTAATCTAATCGTCATAAACAGTTCCCACACTCCGGAAAGCTCGCCTTGACTACTTCCTTCACCATTTCCTACATCCTGGACCTGTTTTCCTTCCTTCCCATAGCATTTTAGGATTGTAGATACCTTAATCTAATCGTCATAAATATATCCCATACCCCGAACAGCTCGCCTTTACTAATTCCTTCACCACTTCCTACGTCACGGACCCGTTTCCCTCCCTTCCCATAGAACTTTTGGAATGCAGGTACCTAAATCGAATCGTCATAAACAGTTTCCACACTCCAGACTGCTCCCCTTTACTACTTCCTTCACCACTTCCTACGTCATCGACCTCAAGCTAGTGTCGTCATTTGATTATATTTTATGATCCATACCGTTTCTGTTCTAATATCTGTGGAATAATGCTATCGGCTATTTCTTTATCTACTGCATTCAAAAGTCAACAGCTGATCACATGTATTTGTTTATGTGTCAAATACTGCTTCCATAAGGATTACATTGAAACTTTGAGACCCAGTGGGGCGGATTCCTGAGAGTTATTTTTAACGCCATAT